CGGGGGGCGCCGCGGTTGGCGTTCCGGCCGGCCATCGTGGACGTAGACGGTGTGGGGTGGGTGGTAATAAGGCGGGGGGTTGCGCGGGGCGCGGCAGGACCAACAAGGCGGGCCTGAGGCGGCGGCGCATTGCGGGCAGTTGCAGTTCGGTCGGTGAATGCCGGGATGCTTTTGGCGCATGCGCTCCCAGTTGCGGTCCTCGCGGCGGCGGTGGCGGTCGTGTCGGCGGCGGGAGCGGGCGCTAACGTCCGATTCGATAGACGAGGCCGACTCCGAGTCGGAGCCGCCGCCCGCGTCAGCGGCGTTGCCTTTGCCCTTGTCTTGGTCTGGGACTGCAGAGAGTGAGTAAGCGAGATGCTCTCTGGCTGGGCCAAGACGGGATAGGCCATGGCTTACCCAGCACAGAAGCAGCAGGCCGGATAGGCTCATATTTGCCCTCGTAGAGGTAGGCAACGAGGAAGTGGAAGATGGCAGGGTTCTCTTCTGGAAGGTCGATGGACTGCATGCCCGACTCCTTGAATTCGCCGCAAAGGGCCTTCTCGAAATACTCGGATTTTAGGAGGACATGCTTGTGCACCTAGCCCACAGTCAGCACGCACACAAGGCACACCCTACACAGTACGTAAAACCGGAAGAGTGCACATACATAGAAGGTCTCATGACAAGGCGCCTGGCCCACACGGAGAGGGATGATGGGCGAACTGTATCGTCTGCACTTGCATGTCAGCAGCCATTATGGTTGCAGAAGATAGGCTACCTATGTGAAGGAGAGCAAATGACGAGATGGCGGGACTGGGCGATCCGTGCTTGTCTGAGCGCCACGCCGGGGAATGCTCCGGGGAATGCGCCGGGCGATACCCGACTGCGGGGCCGAAGCGGAGGGGCGGGTGCAACTCACCCGTCGACCGTGGACAACCAAAGATCCTCCTTGGGGTCCAGAACATCCTTGCGCCCGGTGGCCTCGGGCAGCGAGTCCAACACCATGACCCCGGGGGTTGTTGTGGACGGCTCCCTCATCACGTCGGCGAGTGTGCGGGATGTACTTGCTCTCCGTTGCTCGTTACCGGCGCCGGAGCTACCCTCACCTCTCCCACTGTGCTGGCGCTGACTCGGACCCTGACTTCGGCCCTGGGCCTGGCTCTGGCCGCTGCCGGTGTCATTGCGGCCGGCGGTGGCAGCGTCCGAGCTGGCGCTGGGCACCGCAGACATGGTCCTTGGCGGTGCGTAGCGCTGCGATGCGATGCGATGCGAGACGGCGTGCAACTTGACCGTGGATCGGGATGGTTGACTACTGAGTTGGTCGTTGTAAATGTGATAAGAGAAAAAAAACGCAACTGAGTTGCGGGATAGGGAAAAGCAAGGCAATTAGTTAATGGAAAGCCACGGGTTCGGCGCTGGTTAGCGGCCCTCAAACACCAAGGACGAGAAACAAAAAAGACAACTCCAACAAAAGTCCGATGGTGTGGTGGTCCAGAACCCGACTGCCACAAGGCGGCAAAGCTGACACGATTTTGGCCGGATCGGATTGGTCAAGGTAAAAAAGAATGGAGGCAAATACCAAGATCTGACCCCTTGCGAGGACAGCCAAATAGAAAAAAAAGGAAGCGCTGCACGGGGAGGAGAGGGTTGCTGTCCGGTAAGCCACACTGGTCGTCTGCCGAATGATATGCGGTGGGCGGTTGTAAGACGTCCCTCTGGGCGGGCTTAAAATCAACGGGAATGGTGGTGTGGCCGGCGGGTCGCTCTTCTTTCCTTTTGTTGGTGCACGATGCACGAGACGGCCACTGGCCTACCACAAGAGCGGATGAATTGGTGCGGCTGCGATATCGTCCAGCGGGATAAATGAGGCAGATCCTAGAGGTAGGTTACCTCAAGTAGGCAACAAGGCGGCATCGGTGACTCGATGGAAACCCGATTTGGATTGCGTCACGGAAGAACACAAGAATAACAAATACGGGTGGAGTATGAGGTAGAATGGCTGGTGTGGCGGAATGGGTCGAGCCAAATGGAAGTCAGGCAACTATTCGTAAGTCAAACGAAATGTCGAAGAGATGTCGATGCAGATCTGATGTACGAATACTGTGCTGCACATGTACTGATGTAGATCCCTTGAATGAGGTGCCGAAATGGATGGCGGGGGGTCCTACCTGCAGCCAGCCTCTTAACATAAAATATGCAGTACTGTGTAAATTTGGAGGAAAGCGCCAGAGCCGAGTGTGTGGGTGTGTGGGTGTGTGAGTGCGTGCGGGAGGATGACAACCTGGAATGCGGGCTCACATGCTTGAGGGACTAATGGAACCCCCCTCATGGATGCTGGTCATGGCCCTGTCATGCATGGCGCGAATCTTCGGACGACGCGCATGCGCCATGCCCCGTCTGCCTGCCCGTAAAGGTAACTTCCATTGATTGAACCGACCTCCCTTCCAGAGAACACACCCCCTGGCTGACCCCCCCTGTGACATGGAGGCCAAGACCTCGCCGGGCCTTTTTGTCAACCTCCTCGGTGCGACTTCACATCCGTTCTCACCAGTTTTACTGTTTTCCTCCTCGAGGGTTTGTTGGTTTAGTCACTTGTTCTACTCCACCAGGCCAGAGATCACTGCCACAGGTTTGCCAGGCAACACAATATCCACACACATTACATACAAACAATAATGCACCCAAGGTCCAGACATCTCCTATCCATAATGTCACGCCCGTACTTCCCCGATGCTCCTGCAACGCCACGCCGGGCGATAGGGTCTTCTCGTCTCCCAAAGGATCCAATGCTCCCAACAGAGCCCGAGTAGACGATATTGGAAGCCGGCGCCCTGTTATTCTTCCTCCATCTCCAACTGCATCTCGGCCTCTACAACGGGTTCCGTCAGTCCTTATCAGTCCAGTCCTCACGAGCAGACAAACTCCATAGGGGTCGCGCTTACGCCATAGCCTGTTCGCTGAGTCGGCGATGATCTTTGCTTTCGCAAGCAGTTTGTCCTTGAACTTTTGCTCGTCCTTGGCCCCCAACTTCACCTTGTTGGGCTGCGCTTGCATCAAAACCGGCAGCAGCTCCTTCGGATCCGCATTAGCGACCGCCGCGACCGTCTTCAGGCCGTTGTCCCAGAAAATCCGCCTAATCAAAATTAGCCCAACCCTTCCACCCAAGCGGAGCACCTTTCTCGCCGGACTTACGCCGTCCTGCTCTTCACAAACGTGATTTTGGCAAGCGCCAGAAGGTCAGATCTGGCCCCCGCCTTCAGTCGGTCCGAGAAGTGGTCAAGTGCAGCCGCCATGGCCCTGGTGAGAATTAGCAGAGGAGGAGAGCACTCTCCTGGTCGGAAAACCTACCCCCACCCCATCGTCTCGCAGAATTTAATCATCCCGGCAGCGAACCCCTCGCAGGTCTGGGCCAGATTCTGGACCGACCCACGCGGCATGTCGTACTTCTCCGCGACCTGGTGTATGGGCTTCTCGTTGCAGAGATCCCGCAGCTGCAGCGCGAGGTAGAATCGGTGGTAGCGTCGCGCATCTTCCTTTTCCTTGTCCGTTGACTCCTTCATAATACCCCCAGAAAGCCTATCCCACGTTAGTCGGCCGTATCTAGAGGGTATATCGTGTATGGAAAACACCCACATTTTGTCGACTATAAAAGGCTTGAGGCCCAATAAATCCATGACCCTGAAGCCGCTGGCATCGAGATATTGCATCTCGTGCCAAAAGACCTTCCAGTTGACTTGAACGCCGTCAAGGTCGTGGACAGGAGTGAAATTGTAGAGAACATGCATATCGCCATCTAGCACAAACGCCTTCAACGCCTTCTTTAGTTCGTTATGGACGAAGATGCCGTCTTCGGGATCAAGCGACGACGCAACAACAGCTTTACCCAACAGCGTGGCCTGGAAGTCGCCATCGTCATCAATGTCGATAAACCTCATGTTTTGGAGGTCGGCAATGCTTGCTTCGACATGATCCTGGATCGATTGTGGCTCCGCCGAGTAAGCGAGCATGGTTTTGCTGACATAGTCGTCGAGGGATTCTCGAGTCACCGCCAGTCTAATTGCGATGACTTCTAGCAAAGCCCTGGCCCGAGAGTTAGCATACCATTTGTAACCAGGGCTGAGGGATGGATAAACCTTTGAATACGGCGCTTGTCCGAAATCAGGCAGCTTGATATTTCTGGAAGCTCTGAATGCATGAGATCGACGACGGCCTCCAAATCGGCTTGGCGGCAGCATAGATATGTTTCGCCCACCTCATCCTTGCCTTTCCTGCCGGCTCGCCCACGCATCTGCCGACTATCAGGGTCAGTATCACACACCCCTTGGTCGAGGTGTCATCGCATCGTTGTGCTTACAGCATAGCAGGGCCAACGAGATCACGACCCATCCGGGCGCCGTGGAGAATCACTCGTCTCGCAGGTACTATGCTTGTTAGATCGACGAGCAATGATGGATGGTGGTGGCATAGGTCTCACAATTAATACCGGCGGCGAGGGAGCATGTTGCCACGCAAACTTTGAGTGCCCCGTCGTCATAGGCTTTTGCTACTAGGTCTCGTTCTTCAGTTGTGAGACCAGCCTAAAAATGTCAACCTCAACCGCTGGTGATGGTAACAGAACGACCTACATCTTCAACTAGTCAGTACGGCTCTGTATCCCAGTCACGAGAAACTCACGGTGAAAGGCTACGCCAAAGGGGATAGTCTGCTCCAACTTTGGGTCGAGCCCGGTGCTTAAATTGCGCAGGTCACTTAGTAAATCCAGCCTCTTCTCCTGGATGGCGGGGTCGGCTTCTTCGAGTGTTGGCAAAACTCGGCTTATCAGGACGGCATCCGACTCACAGCCGGCACGACTGTTGGAGAATACCAGTACCCCATAGCCGGCCCTGGCGGTTTCATTGGCAAGGGCAACGACGGCATTCCGGACCGGGTCCTTGAATTCTTTAGTATCAGACGCCTGAATGATTCTCAGCGGTTGCAACCCGGGTTGGCTAAATTGACTCTTTGACTCTAGTTGGGTGACGGTTTTTAGGAGACTGGCAGTGGTTGTTGCGGCATAGACCTTCCCGTCGTATACCAAGTGCTCTTCGATTGGAACTGGGCGGTAGTGAGTCTCGTATGAATGGCCTTGCAACCAGTTTTTGAGGAGCTCAATATTCTGCGTGCGTATTAGTGGACTTGATATCCGGACGATTGGGGCGAGTAACTGAGCGCACCGTTAGAGTGGCGCTCATGCCGATGATCTGAACTGGCTGGCCGAGACATAGCAGCTTGGTACCCATAAGTTCCAGCAAATACCCTCGATACCCGTCATCAATCATATGACACTCGTCCAAGACAACAGCCCGCAACGCGGAGATGGAGCAATCCTCAATGGCTGTGTTCACGAGAGAGTTTGCCTAATGCAAGGTTAGTTAGACTTCGTTACGATAGGTTCTCGACACGAACTTGCCTTTTCCATAGTACAGACTGCAATATCGAAATCAGCCCATGTGGCCCTGATCTTGTTCCCGCCAAAGAAACCAACCACTCGGATGGTATCTTTGTCCGCCCTCGGGGCCCAGAACCCCGGCTTCTCATCTGGCTCGTTTTGTTCGAGTTCCGCGCGCGAGATGCCGCTCACGATGTTCCGGAGCCACCGGACCTTCTCCTGGACAAGAGCAACATAGGGCAGCACCAAGATGGCCTTGGCGTCGCGGTCTTCAAGGACGCGCTTCAGCATGAGAACATCAGCAACCAGCGACTTGCCGCCGCCTGTGGGGGCGCTGTAGACTAGGTTCCGGTCCCCGTTTAGAAGGCCAGGGCCGCGAAGGCATTGTTTCTGCCACGGATAGATGGTCTTAATGCCTAGAGCAGCAAAGTTAGTTACGAGCTGTGGGGGGAACCCGTAGGCTGGATGCGAGAGGGAAAGCAAGTGATCAACGGTTGATGTTGGTGTGGCGGCAAAAACCTGTCTTTGCGAGTACTCGGATGGCTGTTCTCTGACGACAGAGCCGTCTGCATATTCAATACGACTTGCAACTAGCCTTGGTGGTTCATCCGCGGCTTTGCTATTCACACTAGTAGGGCGAAGAGGGGGAGGCGGGGCTCGTCCCTGTGGTGCCGCACCAGTCTGATTGAGATTGTGAGACGAGTATGCATCATAGGCCCGCTTCCGCCCAGCAACAAGCGCAGTGGCATTACTTGTAGAATAGATCTGCCGGTTGTGTTGATACTGCTGCCTCATCGACTGCAGCGGCGCGGTCGTCCGCCAAACGCTAGGCTTAGGCCTGAACTGGTCGCCCATGACGTCGATCGGCTCGTTCCGTTCCCAAAATTGCAAAAATGTAAAGACGTCGCGTTCATATCAAAAATTGGCCTCGTGTCCTGTTGGGACATGTAATAGGCGGCGATTTTGCTCAATTTCGATGTCATAGAAAAATTGAAGGTATTTTTGTTGGTGTTGTTGATGTTATTATTGATGTTGAAGTTCGTTCGGGAAAACAGCTGTGAGGCGGTTGGCTGTGGTTGCCTGCTGCAATTCATTCCATGTTGGGAAGTCACGTCCCATATCGGCTTGGATGGACTCCTGCGAGCTGAATTCCCAGTCGTTTGGGAAAAGCGCAGGGGTTGAATCCACTTTTATTATGGGGCTGGCGGGTCGTTCCAGCCCTTGCTCTTGGCTCGAGGTCCCTGGACATTGAACAGCCTCTCATTTCCGAAGGATTTGGCATCGAATGCCCCGCTTTTCTTGTACCCAGCACTTGCGACCGGGGCGGCTTTGTCCTTTCCCATTGTCACAGCCGCCAGAAACGACGACCCTCCATGCCCCGCTCCATCCGCTCATCGAAATGCATCGGATTTGAACGTGAACGAGAAAGGTTCGCTATCTGTATCAAATCGAATCCATTTATTTCTCCGTGGAAACAACATCGGGAAGGTTTGCCGTCATAAGTTGGGATGAGAGGGAACTCGTGGATTAACCGATCTGAAACCAAGCGGACGGGATGCGATTGATCGTCGGCAAGGGGCAGCTCGTGGAGGAGGCGACAGTTTTAAACACGCCCAACCTTCTAATTGACGCGATAAGTTGGAAATGAAACTTCTCGCTGCCTTCGAACCACGACTTAGGAAGAGGGATGGTGTTGTTGCCGTCACATATGCGAGTCGTCTGGAGCACCTGCAGGCCCCACCGTTGAAGAGATCTGTGAGCCCGACTGGACAAGACCAGCGCCAGGCACAGACACGGCGCGAAGAATAGCGAAGATGGACACTGATGACAACTGTTGGTGTCGATGAAACGGTCACTTCTCGGTAGTCCAGGATTGGATTTTAAGTGATTCTATCCGGCATATACAATACTTTCTAGTGAAAATGATTTCTTTCGGCGACACGAAAATGTCGCGGGTCGCCAATGTCATTTGAGCGCTCTCCACTCCGGCGCCCCCCGCCTGCAGCCGTTTTGCTCGTCATGAGACGAAAACAGCTCCAGATTTTGCAGACGGCGATGGTCGAGGGAACCTGGGAGCCACCCACCACCGCCACATCTGCATTTTGTCTACATAGTGGGTATAACCACAGTCCGCACGGTGTTGGTGAAAGAAGCCTCGTCGTCCCAACGACCCTTCCTTGCCGAGTTGCTCGCTCGACCAAGGAAAGGATTTCGCCCGGAGGCATTTGTCGCTCATGACATACTGGTCGGGGCTCGGTTCCCCTCTCTCCCAATGCAAACGAAACACGACGCCCACCAGAGGAGTTGGCATGCTTCGACCACGACAACAAGGCCTAGCATAGCCAATGAACGATTCCTCCGCGGAAGAAAGGAGGCTGGCACGCCGATAGCTAGCTGACATGATGGCGGCTGGTTTGTGATGAAGCCGGCAGCCTGTTGTGTACCGTTTCGGTATGCACGGAACACGTTTGGGTCAGATGAATAAGTTATACCCCAGTTCCGCCAAGCCACACCATGCTCGACATCGAGACGCAACATGCAATGGTCTTTGGCTGGCCTGGCGAAATCGAACGAATTGATCGTCGATTAGTTACGAATAGTAAGTTCGCCCGAGGCAGTCTCACAACAGAAACCGCACCCTTCTGCTTCGCCGTCAAACGCCCGCACAACGGTTACGACCAAATTACACACTGCTCTGTGGAGTTGCTCCTGTCACGCGGAACCAAAAACCCCGGGAAGCAAATGTCGCCTTTCTCAGACGCTCGGAATCCCGTGTTCCCACCCTGCCCGGGGGGGTTGCCTTGCGCCTCACCGAGTCGCCGGGCGAGCTATCCAGACAATCTTCTAGATAATCTTCCAGACACCCGGGAGCACTTTCGCCGGGTAGTGGCGACCAAGGTAGTAGTGTCATTTCGACGGCACGTTGAACTGTCAATTTATACCGCTCCGAATCGGCTGTGAACGAGACCCCATCATGTCGCGCGGCCGGAGAAGACTCCTTCGTGGGAGTCGCAGACCTGGCAGCGGTGGGTTGTGCCAAGCATTCGGCGGCATCCCAACCCAGCCGCCCTCGACATCATTGCCGATCACAGGGGTGCCAATCATTGCGGCACGCGAGAAAGAAGCCATCGACGCCTTTCGACCGGTGAAGCTGCGAAAAGATATGGGTACGGACGTCTTTGCAGAACCATCCCTGACGTTGTCTAGAGTCTACCTACCTACACAGTGAGGTAACTAGATGTCGGTTGCGGCGCTGTGGGGAATGTAAGGGGCACAGCGGTGCCACGATGCAAACTCGGCAACCGCCAGGCCTAGGTCGGGAACCAAGCTTTTCTTTCGGTGCAGGGCAGCCTTATCATCCCCATGCGCGCCGGTCTGGAAGAGCACAGTGCGCCAGCGATATGGGGCGCTCAAAGGCGAATTCTGACGGAAAGATGGCTTCTTGTCTGTATCCGCCCGTGAGGCTATTGACCGCTGGATAAAGAAAACCTAGGCATCTCACCGCAAAACGCGGAGCCAACATGGTGCTACGTACTGGTGGGGAGAATGGAATGCTTTCTCTGCCGGGGCAAGCGGATCTTGGATGCGTGTGAGGACGGGACGTCGGGGTCGATCCCTGGCCTCGCAGCACACTAAGCCAGGGCATTGGATGGCCCAGCATTCCTGTACTGCGCAATTTTCTGGTGGTTGCTAAAAAGATATTGAAGAGAAGCTTCGTTTTGGTTTTGAGCTTGACCAGGCAAGAACGGGAGGGGTTGGAGTTTTTGCCCTTCTGCTGATGATGACCGGCTGCGCCAAAGCATGTCGTGCGTTGCAGAACACGGGGTAGTAAGTAGACAGACCATCAAAGCTCAATCTCCGGTCTCAGTATTCTGCGGGTTAATTAACATGGATCGATCCTCCGGTAGGGTTGGGCGGTTAGAACGACAACTAAAGAAAAAAAAAAAGGAGAAAAGAAAAGGAGTGCTTCCAAAGCGACACATTTAAACCCAGTTACTAGAATCGCGAGTAAAACTTGGAAGGCCCGAGGTATCATTTCATTTCGCGAGTCTCCCTTGACGTTGAGACACGATCGCTAGCCGTTCTCTTTTCCTGCGTCGTCACCTGCAGTTTAACGAACAGACCAAAAATGCCCGGGCGGGATGTGGCACTGGGATACCGAACAGATGTCGCCTCGCAGAGTTCAGTCAATGGCGGCGAGATCACGCCAGCAGCATCCCCGACCTGAGCATTCATTTTGATGACTCCTGCACGTTTTCTCTCCACACCTGCATGGTGGACGTACACTATGTACTT